CCTTTTCATGTGTTTGTGTGTGTGTGTGTGTGTGTGTGTGTGTGTGTGTGTGTGTGTGTTTCTTTTGTGCATTTCTATTTTCCAAACACTCAAACAACATTTTCTCCCCTTTCTTTCAGCTTGAAATCGTGCAAGGCCAGTTGGATTCCCTGACTTGATGCCTGGTGCTCTTTGTACAACCACACACACACACACATGCATTGTTAGTTTTTTTGCTGACAGCTATGCCAGCTGTTAGAGGTCTGGCAATTCCACACTTGCTCTGATTTATTAGAGAAAAATGTCAAACATTTGATGGAAGGAGTTTCTTTCCCTTTTGAGCTTCATGTAATTCAGTTTTGTGCTCATAACTTAGAGACGTCAGTGTGATATATCTGATTTTACGCTGAGTATTTATGTCTTCATCAAGGGGATGGTGGGAAAATTACATTTGTCAATATAGATTGTGCTGAAACAAGTTTCTTAGTAACATTTTTCTATACCCTGCAGTGAGTAACTTAATGTTTGATTGCCCTGTAACTTGGTTTTAATGATCTGTTTAAAATGTGCCAATAGTCAGCGGTCATAAAAAATCATTTGCAGCCTTAAAAAGAATGAAAAAAGAAATTAAATGTTATTTTGACTTGAAACAAATGGATTTTGTGACTTGGACAATGAACTAGTGTCCATGCCATTCTAATAAAATCTGAAGTGGAGGTAAAATCCATCCAAGCTGTTGTTATTTAGTGAAGGCTCATTATTTCTCATTAAGACCAACCTGGACTGCTGGTTCAACAGATGGGAGTTCTGGGAGGCACAGCGGACCTCCAGTGTGTGTTTGTGTGTGTGTGTGTGGGCACCCACTCATGCATATGTCTGTGTGTAGATGGGTGCATGAATATGTCCTTGTTCATGCATCTGTCCTAACTTGTGTGTGTGTGTGTGTGTGTGTGTGTGCGCGCACGCATAATTCTTCTCTTCTATTGTTTGTATTCAAACTTTAGAGTTCCCAGGTGTTATTCTCCCAACCCCTCAGATCTTCCTAATGGCTCTGCTCTTAGATTTGTCACGTCCTAACGTGACAAATCTATCTACAAATCTTTTTATCAAAATTAGGAATTTACTTTTGTGAAGTGTAATACACAATGTGTTGGGGACTAAAAGATTTCCAAGCAGAGAAAAGCAACTATTCACCTGTCTGCTTAATTATGTGCCAACATACATTAATGAGCACCAACTAGGAACTTCCATTGTGTGTTGATTCTGGCAGCTCCTGTGGACAAACCCTTGGTTTGGTTTTGGAGTGAGTTGCTGCTCCAAGTGATCAAGTTTCTCAAGGTCTTGTTCACAAGCAGGGGTAACATCAACAGGTGGTCAGGTTGGTGCAGTGTTGGTGGATGCCGGTGTTTTACGGGGCTTATTTTTAAGCAGAGAGTGAGGAGCCGAAGGTTTGGGGACCCGATCAGGATGCCTCCTGAGTGTTTCATGTTGGAGGTATTCATGACACGTCCTACTGGGAGGCAGACGCAGATCACACTAGAGAGATTATATATCCCATCTGGACTGGGAACACCTCGGGTTCCCCCAGGAGGCGCTTGAGGTCGTGAAGAAGGACATTTAGTCTACTTTTCTTAGCCTGCCGCCACCGCTTCACAGACACGGTGGGGAATGGATAGATGGATCAAAGTAAGTATGAGATTATACAGATTTAGTCTCCTGTATAATTAAATTACTCGTGTCTCTTTGCTTTATGAACCTTGAACCTTGTTCACAAACTAAATTTTCATTTCAAAAAGTTGTCCCTTCAGTAGTCAAACAACTTTCCCATGTGGTTCTGTTGCTTTTTATGTCTAACCTTAGCAGGTGGCAAGCTGTGTGATAATTGGCTTGTAGAGAGAACATAAAAACACAAATACACACACACAAGCAAACAACAAAAAACTCCCCCTTCCACCTTGTAAAATGGATGAATTCACCACTTTTACTATGAGAAACCTACTTACAGCTGCCACCCTCAAAGATACTAAAAATATTAAGGCAGTGTAATACATCAAGAGAAGACCGCATTCTCTTTCTCTTCCTCCTACGTTATAATAGACTCAGAGTGAACTTTTGAACATGGATATATTCTCTCTCTCTCTCTCTC